CCCGAGAGCCTATCCCGATCCCAAAAGAGCCCACCCTGAGCCCTACCGAGAACCCATCCCCCAAGCCCTACCGAGAACCCATCCCCCAAGCCCCTACCGAGAACCCACCCCCCAAGCCCTACCGAGAACCCACCCCCCAAGCCCTACCAAAACCCACCCCCATGCCCTACCAAGAACCCAGCCCTAATACCTACCAAGAACCCACCCCAAGCCCTACCAAGAACCCACCCGAAGCTGGACAGACACCCACCTGGAGCCCGAACAGTCACCCACCCGGAGCCCGACCAGTCAAACACCCGGAGCCCGCCAGTTTAGTAAACCGGAGCCCGCCAGTTGAGTGAACCGGAGCCCGCCAGTTGAGTGAACTGGAACCCGTCAGTTGAGTACCTGGAGCCCGCCCCGAGCCCTACCGAGAACCCACCCTGAGCCCGACCAAGAACCTACCCCGAGCCCTACAGAGGTTCCCCAAGCCCGAGAGCCTATCCCGATCCCGAAAGAGCCCACCCCGAGCCCTACCGAGAACCCACCCCCCAAGCCCTACCGGGAACCCACCCCCCAAGCCCTACCGAGAACCCACCCCCCAAGCCCTACCAAAACCCACCCCCATGCCCTACCAAGAACCCAGCCCTAATACCTACCAAGAACCCACCCCAAGCCCTACCAAGAACCCACCCGAAGCTGGACAGACACCCACCTGGAGCCCGAACAGTCACCCACCCGGAGCCCGACCAGTCAAACACCCGGAGCCCGCCAGTTTAGTAAACCGGAGCCCGCCAGTTGAGTGAACCGGAGCCCGCCAGTTGAGTGAACTGGAACCCGTCAGTTGAGTACCTGGAGCCCGCCCCGAGCCCTACCGAGAACCCACCCTGAGCCCGACCAAGAACCTACCCCGAGCCCTACAGAGGTTCCCCAAGCCCGAGAGCCTGTCCCGATCCCGAAAGAGCCCACCCCGACCCCTACCGAGAACCCACCTCCCCAAGCCCTACCGAGAACCCACCCCCCCAAGCCCTACCGAGAACCCACCCCCCCAAGCCCTACCGAGAACCCACCCCCCAAGCCCTACCGACAACCCCCCCAAGCCCTACCGAGAACCCCCCCCCCCCAAGCCCTACCGAGAACCCCCCCCCAAGCCCTACCGAGAACCCCCCCCCAAGCCCTACCGAGAACCCACTCCCCCAAGCCCTACCGAGAACGCCCCCCCAAGCCCTACCAAGAACCCACCCCCCAAACCCTACCGAGAACCCACCCCCCAAGCCCTACCGAGAACCCACCCCAAAGCCCTACCGAGAACCCAGCCCCAATACCTACCAAGAACCCCCCCCCCAAGCCCTACCAAGAACCCACCCCCAAACCCAACCGAGAACCCACCCCCCAAGCCCTACCGAGAACCCACCCCAAAGCCCTACCGAGAACCCAGCCCCAATACCTACCAAGAACCCACCCCAAGCCCTTCCAAGGACCCACCCGAAGCCGGACAGACACCCACCTGGAGCCCGAACAGTCACCCACCCGGAGCCCGACCAGTCAAACACCCGGAGCCCGCCAGTTTAGTAAACCGGAGCCCGCCAGTTGAGTGAACCGGAGCCCGCCAGTTGAGTGAACTGGAACCCGTCAGTTGAGTACCTGGAGCCTGCCCCGAGCCCTACCGAGAACCCACCCTGAGCCCGACCAAGAACCTACCCCGAGCCCTACAGAGGTTCCTCAAGCCCGAGAGCCTATCCCGATCCCGAAGGAGCCCACCCCGAGCCTTACCGAGAACCCCCCCCCCCAAGCCCTACCGAGAACCCACCCCCCAAGCCCTACCGAGAACCCACCCCCCAAGCCCTACCGAGAACCCAGCCCCAAGCCCTACCGAGAACCCAGCCCCAAGCCCTACCGAGAACCCAGCCCCAAGCCCTACCGAGAACCCAGCCCCAAGCCCTACCGAGAACCCAGCCCCAAGCCCTACCGAGAACCCAGCCCCAAGCCCTACCGAGAACCCACACCCCCCCAAGCCCTACCAAGAACCCACACCCCCCCCAAGGCCTACGAAGAACCCACACCCCCCCCTCCAAGTCCTACCAAGAACCCACACCCCCCCCCAAGCCCTACCAAGTACCCACACCCCCCCCAAGCCCTACCAAGTACCCACACCCCCCAAGCCCTACCCACCCCGGAGCCCCGACCGACAACCCACCCCGGAGCCCCGACCGACAACCCACCCAGGAGCCCCGACCGACAACCCACCCCGGAGCCCCGACCGACAACCCACCCCGGAGCCCCGACCGACAACCCACCCCGGAGCCCCGACCGACAACCCACCCCGGAGCCCCGACCGACAACCCACCCCGGAGCCCCGACCGACAACCCACCCCGGAGCCCCGACCGACAACCCACCCCGGAGCCCCGACCGACAACCCACCCCGGAGCCCCGACCGACAACCCACCCCGGAGCCCCGACAGAGAACCCACTTGGGGCCCGACAGAGAACCCACTTGGGGCCCGACAGAGAACCCACTTGGGGCCCGACAGAGAACCCACTTGGGGCCCGACAGAGAACCCACTTGGAGCCCGACAGAGAACCCACTTGGAGCCCGACAGAGAACCCACTTGGAGCCCGACAGAGAACCCACTTGGAGCCCGACAGAGAACCCACTTGGAGCCCGACAGAGAACCCACCCCGCGCCCAACCTTTCATGGAGAAAATTGAACACCAGGCGACAAAAATAATTGCAGAATGAGGTCTAGTTTCATACCATGAACGGTTGAGGGTCACAGGGCTAACAACACTGCAAACTAGGCATGCCAGGATGGATCTCACCGAAACTATTAAAATATCGACTTGAATCGACTTGAGAATGGTCCAGGACGGACCGAAACTCGTCGTCCCTTCAACTTCTAGTGTGTGGTCTGGTCAACATACTTCAGCCACGTTATTGTGACTCATCGCCTGCCTATTAAAATATTGAACAGTTTCGAAGATATGGATCCAGAGAACAACTTCAAAAGGTCAGATGGAACACAAACAAGGAACAACGGTTTCAAGTCCAACAAGCCGCAGTGTAGGACTGAAAACATAAGCTATATTTTCACCCACAGGGTTATAAACCCATGGAACCGCCTATCTGCTAAAGCAGTAAATAACATAACACTTGAATTGTAAAATCCAATTTGAAAAAAAATCGGAACAAATGGGGGACCTGATCTGCTACCAGAAATTTTAGCCAAATATCCCCAGTCTGCTAACTGTAGGTAGTAACCGAGTGATTGTAACCTATCCACCGCTGCCCACTGGATGGGGGGCGGTGTGCAGGACAAACATAAATTGTGACACTAGCTCTCCACATATGTCAGGTGCTTAATTTAGAACCTGTACTTGAGGTCGATCTCGAACCCAATTGTTGATGTGACGACTTATATTGAATTTTGTAACTAGCTCAAGATTGTAACTTGCTTAGCTAAATGAATTGTGGGGTTCAGTCCCTGAGCCCATTATGTGCCTCTGTAACCCTTTCCACTACCGCCCAGCAGAGTTACAACAGGTACTCAGAGAGAACTATCAACATCAGAGGCCCGAGACTGTTCAACACGCTTCCACTACACATAAGGGGCATAACTGGCCGACCCCTCACAGTGTTCAAGAGAGAACTGGATAAGCACCTCCAAAGGATACCTGATCAACCAGGCTGTGACGCATACGTCAGGCTGCGAGCAGCCGCGTCCAACAGCCTGGTTGATCAGTCCAGCAACCAGGAGGCCTGGTTGATTCTTCGCGGCGGGGATCGTATTCCAGTGACCTGCCCGAAACGCTACGCGTACTAGTGGCTGTACAAGAATGTAACAACTTTTGTATATATCTCAAAAAAAAAAAAAAAAAAAAAAAAAACATTGATAGGCATTGTTCGAAGCAAACCCCATTATATTATATAATTCTATATACTGTGTATATATAAGATATAAATATGTCAAAAAGAATTATCACTCTTACCTGGAGCAATGTTGCTGTCGGAAATGAGCGGTACATGTTGTCGCGTTGGCGGCACCGACGTTACTGAGCGCCTGGGCCTTCAACGACCAACCGCCGTTTGAACGCCATTTTGAAATTCCAGGCGTACTACCCAAAAAGTGCGTAAACTAGTATTTGCGTGCATTATAGGCCATTCCAAGAAACCTTATTGCTATGAATATCTTGTTATCTAAAAAACGAATTATTTATGTTAATATTTTTAGCACATATGTTAAATTAGGCCATTTTTCATTTAGAGGGGGTATATATATATAGCTATTTACATTTTAAGTTTGAAAATTACCGTACAAAATTGAATGCAAAGATAAGATAAGATTTATTTATACAACCCTGTTTGGAAATTAACTCCTTTTACAATGAAATAAGACGCAAATAAGAACCTCAATTGTGTAGTGAATTTAATAATAATAATAATAATTTTTATTTAGGTAAGGTACATACATAAAGAGATTTTACAAAGTTTGTTGGCTTTATAGATAGAGCTAGTACATACAATGCAATTTATGCATTTTGTTTTGATTAAAAGCTTAGGTAGTACAATGTACTACTTCTACTACTAATACCATATTATATATGAGGGGCTACTAAATAAAATTAAAGCACAAGAATGATCACCTAATATCATTAGCTGACAGGTGAAATAATATGAAAGTCGGAAACTATTTGATTCTCTCTTAGAATTTCTACTAATCCTTTCTTTCGTCGAGACCAATATATGTCAGTGACCCCTCAGATAAATTTCATTTGGTAAGGTAGACCAACGAATAACGCTAGTATCTATATAACAAATTTATTGTCATGTGGAATTGATTTAACTTCCAGACACTTTTTTTAATAAATATTAAATATTTTGTGGCTGTTTATGAAAAATATTATTATAAATACACATTCTACTTGTTAATATTACCAATTAAATTTGCGACAATTTGAGCCATGAAATACGACGACTGTCTCGACATGGCCCAGAAGCCGGCGGCTTGTCTGGAGTTACTCTTTTTCTCCAGACTTTGAAAATCTGTTCTCAAACATGGCCAAAGTATTGCCATCAAACTTTGCACCTCACACTGCCACAGCTTTCCCATATAATTTTCAGACTTCAAATAAAGTACAATGAGAAATTGAGTGAAGCGTTCTATTGTTAATTAAATCGTGATGTTCCTAATCGTTGACTACCTTTTAATCCACTTCTTGAATCTGTGCATCTATGGTCTAAACCTCGACTGGCCATTATTTATTAAGTTGTCTTATTCCTCCCCAGAGAATGCTAGCAAAATATTGATGCTGTGAACTATTGATTAAACTATTTCTCTACCAAAAAATCTTTAATGTCTCAAAATTGATGTGAATTTCGTAACTTTGACTAACAAATGGTCCTATGGTAAAGTATAAACCCTAGATTGTTGCTGTTGAAAATAACATTTTGTTTACTTTAATTTGAAAGCAAAATTACCTTTTTATAACCTGAAAGTGTAAAAGTTTGCTATACTACCTAGAAGTCCATAACTATTACTAGGTTAAAAAAAACTTAAAACTAATTGAACTTTTGCACTTAGTGTGTAAACAAAGGTCTTGAATATACACTAGTTAGGACAACTTGAATTTACTTAAATCTGGTATGTCGTCTACTTGAAAGTAAAGTCCTTGGCATGTGCTCGAACCTTAATAATGTGCTCCGGAGAGTGCGAGACATGTACTGTACTTAGTCATTTGCTATACTAAAGTTTATTTTGGTTGATTTTGTATACTGTGTAAGGTCTATAGACATACTAGTTTGTCCTTGACAAGCTAGTCCAGAAACTTCAATAGATGACTTTTACCTAGTTTTTTATCTTTGTCCTAGAATGTTCTGCTTAACGTTGGTCGTGACCATGACCATGGCTCAGAAGTCGAGAGATGTGGATACTCTAATAAACACTTGTATAGATTCTAAACATCACTAAAGTGCACCAGGACCAGAAGGCAGTCTGTTTACTACGGTATGGATAATTTCTTTTAACGTCTTGCTTTTTAATGTACAATATTGTCACTACAGTAGATTAAAAAAAAAATCTGAAGCCTTCAAAAATATGCTTTTAGCTGTAAAGAGCTTTTGACAGTAGTCAAACTTGATATCCTTTCTACCTAAATGATAAATTGCTTAACAGAAAGTACCTCTTTTTATATTTGATTTTTTTAGTGTCATCAGTGGAAGAATAGGTCCTGCTGTACAGAGAATACTACTAGACTTATTCACGAGTCTAGTCCTTATAACTTCAATTATGACCACTGTTCTCGAGTAGAGTCCATGTCCTCGGAATGTAAACGGCATTTCATGCTCGATCACTGCTTTTACGAATGTTCACCCAATGTTGGCCCATGGGTCGTGTCGGTAAGTATTGCAGAACGTCTAAATTCTATATTTTAAAGGACTTTTATTTAACTAGGGTTTCTGCATTGTTTTAATAACTTAAACATGTTTAAACAATTATTTTTAATCATTAAAAATTTAACATTGTGCAAAACTTAAAAGGCTATTTTATAAAGTTTTTATTTTGGTATTCTGAAAGTGACTTCCCCTAAGCATTTAAATGGCATAGTGGCTTGGTTTTTTTTTTTTTTACCAAAAAATAAATTTGTCTAGACATGTAAGAGATTTGGCTCGCTAGTTCCTTTTGCAACGTTAAATAAATTTTCCCTGCAGGAAAATCGCTCGTGGCGGCGGGAAAGATACTGGGGAGTCCCTCTGTGTGCCATTGATTGTGAGCTTTGGTTTACTGCGTGTGCCAACGATGTCACTTGCACAGACAATTGGACCAACAATTTCAGGTGGTTGAATATGACGGGTGATTGCCCAACAAAAGGAAGCTGCTTGACAAATTACTGCCCCGTAAATTCTACCTGTCAAACATTTAAAGAAATCTATAGGACAGCCCGGAACTTCTGTGAAAAGGTATGTTGAACACAACTTTTTTTTTTTTTTTTTTTTTTTATTCCCTCCCCACCTTTCTTGATTCAAAGTTCAGTGTATTATTGTCCATGTGACTTGCCAATTTTATATTTTCCAAATGCCCTAAAATTGGCTATTCAATGTTGGTTTAAATTCATAGGCCTAGAGAGTAGACTGCCCTCTTAATATTTTTCCTACCAAGATGGGAAAGGGGTTACTGAACATCTACAAATATCACAAAGATTGATGTGGCTTGATTGTTTCCAAATTTCAGTTTGGCAACTTTAATTGTTAAAATATTTTGATGCTATTTTCTTAATAGTACCTGCTATAAGACTCTGCCTCCTGTGTACATGTCTATTGATACCCAGTAAAGGTGGTATCCCTTCCATATGACTTGCCAGACTGGCTTAATTATTAAAGTTGTTAAAGTTGTTTACGCTTAACTATGCAACTTTTTTTCCAGCCTTCTCCTTAAACACTGACACACCCAGTACCTGGTAAGGTTAAATGGTGTGCTTCAAAATTACCACTGTACAAGTGCATTTTTTCTCAATCAATCAAGAAATGAGTTCATAAAAGTTCCTAAAGTCTTGCATAAACCATTCCCTTTATTGAAGTTTAAAATATACCTGTACTTTAATACCTGCATTTTTATACAAAGTTGACTCTTCATTCTAGGTGTGGGACAATGCTTGGAAATATGCTGAACCGACAACACCATGTATGCACCTACAGTTCAACCAATCTGCCATCAATCCAAATGATGCTGTTGCTCTACATTATGCACAGATTATAGCTGGTTCCCAGATGCACAGCTGCAACCTAATGTGGTTTAGTATACAACTTGCTGTTTGGGCATTTATCAATAGAATATTGACAGTTGCATCCTAGACTTGGCTTGTTGCCATAGTTCATTAATTAACTCTTTACTTTTGACTATAAACTTGCCCTTGCTGAGGGGAAACGATTCTATTAAAATGTTTACAAAGAAAAAAAAAATTGAGTGTAATATCCTGATCACATGAGTAATAGTGTGCTGTATTCTGGTTCTGCCCTTGTGCCTTGTCTACCTCTATTAAATTCTGAAATGTGCCAGAAATAAAATGCTTCTTTATTTCTATCAGACATCACCCAGTGAAATTTTGGTAGATTCTCAACCACATTGGAGTTGTCAAACTTGCAGCCAAGGCCATTTTACTTGTTCTGTTTCACACGTCCCCTCTCCCCCTTAAAAAAAAAGTTAGTTTGGAAATCTGCCCAGTCATGTTCTGTGAATGTTGGCAAGGTCGTGGGCTTTGTTAAAACTAACAAACTGCACACCATCTCTTTTTCTTGTATAGTCTTTAATATTCTTTAATATAGACTTCTTTATTCTTTAGTATTTTAGTATTCTTCTTTTATTCTTCTATTCTTTAGTATAGTCTTTAATATTTAGATTATTCAAGATAATGGACAGATGGTGCTAGTCTTCCCAGCTTGGTGCTACCTTTTGATGACTGCCACAGATTGGAGAGATTCTTTCTCTGGACTAAAAATCTCTCGCTTCCTCATTACATGTCCCATGCATTGTCCTGTCCCTGCCACCATCTCTCCCTCCTTACCAAACTAGGAAGACCCTCTAGGCAATTTTTTTTTCTTAAATTCTGCCATCTACATCTTGGTAACTTTGTGGCCACAGCTGCTGTACACCCTTCTCCTTGCTGCCCAATATTTAACAATTGTAGAGTGGATACAGAATTTAAAGTGTGTACATCAATCATCCACCCAGAATTGGCCAATTCTCCTTGCATATAGGCCAGAAGACTACTCTTCTGGCATGTCCTTGTAAATTCCTCCTCCATATTCTCCTTGGACCAAATGTATCCACAAAGTGCACAATTTTTTGTTGTTAAATTCTGGTAGACTGACTTGCATTCACTTGCCATACTAAAAGGTGATCTTTCTGCACTTTAATATACCTGGGTTGGTGGGGAAAGGGTGACCTTTACCTCTAAAACTTCAAGAATTGCCTTATCAGGAAAAAAATGGGGCAAGTTTCATTTTTAGACCTTACTGGAAACTTGCTACTACCTTTGTCTCTCTTGCTTTCATGTTAAATTTGTCCTTTTACTGCTATAAACTTGCCCTGCTCAATGCCATTCTTCGCTCCATCTCGTACTATCCCACATGTGGCAGAGAATGCTTTTCTTTAGGTTCTGACTGTGCTTACTCCTAGTGCATAGCCTGGAAGTCCCAGCACACGTGTAGATTTTGACTGAATTAATTCGACAATTTTTGCTCAAGTCTGAAATCTTGTATTTTGTCAGGTGAACACTGAAGGTGATCTATCCTTGGATACCTGGATAATAATTATTACAAATGGATAAAAATCTCCAAAGATGGTTACACACTTGCAACCGAATTCAATATCTGCTTTCTGTAAATTGGTGTCGACCTTGCCAGAAAATTACTAAAGACCCAGACAGATGTCACCAAGTCGCATCAGCAGCTATCCTATCACTACTCATCTTGCCAGTCAGCCCGACAGACATTCGTAATTCAATCATTTCAATCACAATCATTCACAATCAATCGCAATCACTAATTCAAACCACAGCTGGGAACATATTAGTGAAATAGTCTTTGGTATGAGTGTTGGGGGGGGGGGGGCCCCTCCCCCTGCTCTACCCATAGCGCTGCTATTCAACAAATCTGTCTTATTTTTACTGATATCCTCAAAGCAAGAGTGAGGCCATTTCAAAAGGGGCAAGACAGCTGACCTAAATTACAGACCAATATCAAATCTACTGATGCTTTCAAAAATTTTCATTTGATGGTGCTACATAACCTTCCTGGTTTGGTGCCTTCTTTTTGATACTTATTTTCAAAAATATTTGAAAAATCGCTTACTGACTGCTCTATTTCTACTTTGAAAAACTTGACATTATTAAATCCCTACCAGTTTGGTACTCTTTTGGGAATGGATGCCAATGCCATTATTAGGCTGCTCAATATAATCCATAAAGCCCTTGTCAGAATAAAGTTCCCAATTGGCCTCTTTATTGACCTGTGAAAAGCCTTTGATATTGTAAATCATAACTACCTCTTAAACTTTACCATGGTATCAGAGGCCTAGCTCTGGATTATTAGTTCCTTTCTTGGTGATGCACCATTATGTAGCCATCAATAACTTGACCCCCCCCCCCTATCTACCATTGACAGTAGGAATGCCACAGGGCAGCATCTTGGGGCCCTTTATTTCTTATATCAATGATTTGCTAAATGTTTGTAACATTCTTAAACCTATACTATTTGCTGACAATACTACCTTTCCTCTATTCTGACCCAAACTTGCCAAATATTGTCGATAATGAATTAATCCACTCGTGGATGTCTACCAACAAACTCGCTGAACATAGATAAGGCCTAATGTACTATATTTTATTTGGTAGTAAATTGCCAAATGAAATTCAACTTCAGGTAGACAATGTTAACATTGTCAAAAAAAATAAGGGGGAAAAGTTATACATAGCCTATACATAGACACGACTCAACTTCAGCACCCACATAACGCAGCCAAAAGTCTTAAATGGTTGGTATATTTTCCAACATAGATTGTTCCCTCATTCTGCTCTTCGCATTGCACTGGGGTAATTTATACCTCTTGCATACGGTATCTGTGCATGGGATTCGACCACTGCAAATTATCTAGAGCCCATCATCACTCTACAAAAATCTATCGGAACTATAACTCTCTTCAGACAACACGCTTCACTATTGTTTAAGTCCCATAAGGGGGCCAGGAAATGAAATTTTGCACCTTGCTCAAACGCTTTCAAATTATTTGTACATAATCTACTAGGCACATGCTCCAACTTTATCTAAATAATCGCCAACGTAACGTGGAAAAACAAAAAATGAAAAATATTTGTAGAAGTATTAAAAATTTAAGATTTTTAAATGAGCATCAAATATTAAATATCACAAATTGTTCATTTGGTGTTATTAGGCTCTCAGAAGAGCATATAATCTTCATTCTTATTAGTTATTATTATAGGATTCAGTATAGTTTACTGTAAAAAAAGTCAAATATGGCATTTGATATATGCGCCAAATTGTATACCAAAAAATTTATAACTCGACATTTAAGGTTTATGAAAAAACAATGAAATAGGATTGTAGAACAGACGACTGTGCCCATTTTATGTAAAAATGGTGAGAATCGGTCAAACTGGATTTTTGATGCCGACTCAAAGTGGAAACTCTAGTTGTAAAGATAATTGAATTTGAAGTTAATGACAATGAATAAGGTAGTTCTAATTCATTAATTTACTTGTATGTTTTAATAAACATGGTTTTTTATTCGTACTTGAATATGTGAGTTTTAGATCAATGTGTTGAAATGAAGTAAAGAAAAAATGAAGAAAAACAGATATAGGGATAATTATAATGATTTAGGGGATGTATGTATACTTTATATAAGTGATAAAGCCCTAATCTGGTCCCTAATTATCAAAAAAAACCTAAAGAGACAAAGAAAATGGTTTGAAATCTGAAATATCACCTCTCCCCCCCCCCCAAAAAAAATAGTCCAAGTACCAAGTTTTGCCAGTTGTGGCTGATGTATTTGTTGACCAATTAAATTCTAGTATCTTGACATAGTTAAGGACGGGTATGCACTCTACAGGATGTAAAAATTGCAACAAAATCAGATAATACACAAAGGAAGACAAAAAAAAATTAAAAAAAAAATACATTTGTGGACACTGGTGAAAATAACAGATATTAACATTGGGCATTGTATTTTTATGATATATATAACAAAACAGAGCATAATAACATACTTATTATTATTTGTTTTATTATGTATTACTCAGCAATGCTATAAAGGCACCAACTGCATATCCACTTTGTGAACACTTCTTACTACTATCTTCTTCTTTGAGTGTCGGACAGGTGCATCTCTTTATTACTGCATTATCCATCAGTTCCAATTAATAGGAGCTGTTCTTTTTTAAAAACATGTCTAAAATCAATAAAATCAATATTGGGATGAAACTTTCATGATGCTGAAGCCAATAAGTTGGAATTTTGTTAAACATTTATTAGTAGTTTTCACAATTTTAATATTTTTTGATTACTGGGCCCCTTAACATGCTAAACATACTCACTCCACACATTCTCATGTGCTATTTACATGTACAAAACCTTGTTCCTAAATGCTAATCTTGATCTGAAACGTTTCCTTGGCAGGTGTAATAGAACCCATGAGCACAACACCAGAAATAAATATATCTTTGATATCCCAAAAGTCAAACTAAATCTGTGCAAACACTCCATGGAAATAAAAGGACCCAGTCTTTGGAACTCACCCCCTGATGAATTAAAAAATTGTCCAACCTATTCCCTATTCAAAAGTAAAACCAAAGAGTATCTAATTTCATCCTCATAGTTTCCTACCTCATGCTTCAAACTCAAACTTCATCTTGTACTACAGTACCCACTTCCCCAATATTAGTACTTAATACATATATCCTTACCAGTGTAATCATTGCTGTCAACTTATATTGTACTTATTTGTTGATATATATAACCATGCTACAATGTACCTTTTTTCATCTTGCCTAATAAGGACCTGGATCGAAAAGGACTGATTAAGGATCTGCCCGAAACACTATGCGTGTTAGTGGCTTTGCATGAATGTAAAAATACCAATCTTATGTAATCTCACCAACACATTGTACCTTCTTGTATTTAGATTATTATTATTATTATTACTGTATTATTATTATGTGCCTCTGTAACCCTTTCCACTACTGCCCACAGGATGGGTATGGGGCATATAATAAATTAACTAAACTCATGATTGTTCATCCTGTCAGTGAATGTGTGTTATGCACACAACACATTTAGATATATGTATATGTTATGTTGACTGTCAGCTTGACAGGTCATTACTGTGGTGATTGTGCATGCCATTATATTGACTCTCTAAGTATTCAGAAGGAACTCTTGTATTTCCCTTGAAACCAGCAGTGTTAGGAAAGCCGTTTGTCATTTACTGTCTAAGAAAGTGTTAATACAGGATTGGCCACAAGTGAACCATGTGATCGGTCAATTAAGGCATCCCGATGTCTCTCTAATGTGATATTAGCTTTTCTAACATCAATCATAGAATAATGTAAGCAACCTATATATTAGTAAGTAAGTTCTGTAAATAAACATTAGGTTTTATGACGGTGTTTGTGTAAAACCTTATTATATAATGCCACCCAACTAAAGTGCCCTCGGCACATACAGCCCCAAGCCCAAACGCCTTCAAACCTTCAGCCATACAAATTTTGGTGAGGACCCATTTCTTGCATTGGAGTGATTCTCACGACCAAAGTAATTTGGAATCAGGTGAAGCCTGTCAATAAGGATTACCCAACAGAAGGGTCAGTTTCTTGGCCTATTCCTAGACAAGAGACTCAACTTCAGCACCCACATACAACACATAACTAAGAAAGTCTCTAAAACAGTTGGTATACTCTCCAAAATCAGATATTATATACCTAACTCTGCTCTCATCTCACTATATTATGCACTAATCTATATCTATCTTAATTATGGTATCTGTGCATGGGGTTCAACCACTGCAAACCACCTCAAATCCATCATCACTCAGCAAAAATCTGCTGTCAGAATAATAACAAACTCTGCTTTCAGACAACACTCAGCCCCCTTGTTTAAATCCCTCAACATGCTAAACAAACTCACTCCACACATTCTCTTGTGTCACTTATATTTACAAAACCCTGTTCTTAAATGCAAACCCTGCTCTGAAACTCTCCCTGGACACATGTAATAGGACCCTTTATCACCACACCAGAAATAAATATCTCTTTGATATCCCCAGAGTCAATCCCCAAAAATAAAGGGACCTGGTCTATGGAACTCACTCCCTAATGAATTGAAAAGCTGTCCAACTTTTGCCTCATTCAAAAAAAAAAAAAAAACTAAAAATTACCTAATTTCATCTTCATAGTTTCCTACCTTGTGCCTTAAAATTGCACTGTATCTAGTGCTACCCAATCTTTATGTACCTAATCCAAACAACTTTACCATTATGATCATTGCTGTCTTCTTATATGTGCTATCAATATGCTGTTTTGTGCCTATTAATCTTTGTTAAATTACTATCAAGCTATCAATACAATCAATCAGAGCTACCGATGTGCTTTAATATACCTACTAATCTCTCTCATCTCATTTTTTTCTTGCAATGTATCTGTTATCATTTTATTAATTCCTCTAGAATTTACCTACTTAAAATTATCTGTTAGATTAAGGACCTGCCCAAAATGCTGCGCGTACTAGTGGCTTTACAAGAATGTAATTACCATGCTATGTATCCTCAAAAACCCAATGTACCTTCTTGTATATAAATATAAATAAAAGGACCCTTACTCGACCAAGTACTCTCTGGGCTTGCACACATTGTTCCTGTATTGCTAAACTCAAACTGATAATTATTAAGCCATCAACATCAAAGTAGTGACATTGCACGTCACCACTTTGACGTGGTAACTTGCCATTGCACGTAATTAAAGTTAAAGTAAAGTAAAAGTCCACAACTGTACTATGTTTTGTATGTTTTTTTTAATATACGATCAATTATTATTAGTCAATACCCTTAATAGATTTGTTAATGGATATATAGCACTGACAACTGTATAGATAATTATTTAGCTAATGACAAACAAGTACATCAAAGGAGCTTTTAATACAACAAGCAATTGCAATTTTAGTGAAGCTTGCATGTATGGGATCTTGTATGAGATTACTCAGGATCTTGTGCCAACATCAGAAAAGGGCAACAGTAATCAAAGGATCTCTGTAGTACAGTTGGGTTCTTTCTCGACTCAGTCGGGAGTCCTGGGTTCGAATCTCGTGCAGGGTAGAAATGACTCGGCATGTTTCCTTTCATCTAATGCTTCTGTATACCTAACAGTAAACAGGTACTTGGGAGTTAGTTAACTGTTGTGAGTTGCATCCTGTGAAATGGTAGAATACTAGAATGGACAAAGCAAAGGTTAAATGGTCGTTCAAAATGGAAATGAATCTGACTGGAGAAATTTGATGAGTGGAGTACCGCAAGCTTCCATCTTGGGGCCAATCCATTTTTGTCATAAACATCAATGACATATATGGGAATATTGCAATCCACACCATCAAATTTGCACAAGACACTAAGATCTCCAGAAATCTGATAAATCTGATAAAGATCTCTGATAAAGTAAGAAGCGAAAATTATATCCAGACTTTACAAAGAGATGAACATGAACTTCTCAAATAGTCGGAAGACTGGCAAATGATTTTTGATATGGAAAATGCAGCACCTTACATGTGCTGCATTTTCCGTCTGGCCAGAAAATTTTCGGGGGGTTATGGGCCGCCTCCGTCTGGTCGCCCCCCAGGCCAGACGGGGGCGGCCCCAGTGCTACAAATCGGCATCTATAGCGCCCCTTAACCCCCCCCCCTGCAATTTTCATAAAGTCAAATCTGAAATAGAGATTGTGTTTACCGTAGATATATTTAGCAGTGTCAGTGGTTCGAAATATTACATTTTCCGAGAAAGAAAGTGGGGGAGGGGGAGGCGAAAAATGTTTGAATAGAGGGAAGGGGGAGAAAGGTGGAGAACTTTAGAAAAGAGGGTGGAGAGTTAAGGAGAGGGGGATTTGAAAGTTGAGAGAGAGGAAAAACCTAGGTGCACCCAGGTACCCTATCTTTGCATAATATAAAATCATAATAACAACATGTAATCATATAATGATTAGTATATGATTATGGACTAATCACATGGACTTTGTTGAAACTTTTGGCAAGGTACCACATGAAAGACTAGGAAGGAAACTACAGGCACTTGCAATAAATGGGAGAATACTGGAATGGATAAAACAATGGTTAAAACAATGAAAACCCGAGTCGTGCTAAATTAGAATAAATCTGACTGGAGAAATGTGGTAAGTGGGGTACTTTTGTCATTATACATCAATGACAGAAAATATTACTCACCACATAATCAAATTTGCAGATGACACTAAGACTTATGGTAAAGTGGGAAGTGAAAATGAGATTGAGACTTTACAAAGAGATCTACATGAACTCCACAAATGGTCATAAGAACGGCAAATTCGTTTTAATATCGATAAATGCAAGACCTTGCATGTGGGGCATAACAATCCACGTCACAACTAGCAAATTAACAGAATTCATTATTCATCATCAACCTTGCAGCAGATTGTCGGATAAAAGGACCTTACCTTGAGGTTACCTTGAGGTGCTTCCTGGGCTTAGCGTCCCCGCGGCCCGGTCGTCGACCAGGACCTAGATTCAGGTAGCTCTGTGTATTTCTTCGTAAGTGGGTTTGCTACGAAGGTTCCTAAGTGCGCCCTAAGAAGATGCTTAGGTGCGATTCAATAAGGTATACTTAGGAAGAAAATTGTTGGTTCACCTGCGTGCCGATAGAGGTCACTACTGTGTTTCGTTTGGCCAATCAGAGAGCAGCAACATTCTTCATATTGAAGATTTAGTGCTGGCTTATCGGAGCTCTACTGCCTCCTATTTATGTCGAATTTTCTTATAAAATTAGTATATTTCGAAGTAAAACAATGTTTTTACAACTTCTACAGCCAGCACCGACATTGTAGTAAACAAATATGTTACATTTGTTGTTTACCTACGTAATTCTAAGAGATACAGTGTAGCTGTCCTTGTTGCTCGGAAGATGTGCTGACAATTATTGTATATATTTACTGAATTTACCAAAGGGCTACTAACTATCTAGTGACCTCGAAGAGGACAGAAAGCCGGCGGCTTGTTAAAGGGCCCGCCAATTGTCTTAATGATATTTTTTAGCTGGAATTTGGCATTTACGGCTTCAGCGGGTAGGTGGTTCCATGGGTTTATAGCCCTCTTGGTGGAAAAAAAACATCTGTTTTCAGTCCTACTTGAGAGAACATACTCTCCAACACTATATCTGTGATTGTCCTGTTATCAGTGACTTCATACCAAATGGTATGAGGTATTTTGAGCTCTGTAATTACTTCATACACTCAGGAATATTGGAAGATATTCTTGTGCTGCACCCAGATTTTGCCAGTGGAGGCTAATAGATCAGCATTAAGTATTTTGTTCTCTCCTAATTCCATGTATGACTGGCCATCCTGTGAGGTGAGGATGTTGGGTGAGCTTGTAGCTGGTTTTTTATCTACACTGTGTGGTCCTTTATACAGAATAGGGAAGCAGCACATTGCTGTGTATACCTAAACATGTTTAAAAATACATTGTTTGAGAGGAGTTTTGTAGAAACTGGTAAGAGTAATTATAATATAATGTTTCCATGATTCAGTGCTTACCTCTTGTGAAAATTGCTTAGAGTTGTTTAGTCAGAGTTGATTTGTTTTTTGTATTGAGGCTGGTATTTTCTAAATTGATTCCATGTACAGTATGTCTAACCATCCTGTGAGATGGGAGTATTAGATAAACTTATAGCTAGTTTTTTATCTACACTGTGTAATATTCCATATAGAATAGGGTAGCAGCACATTGCTGTGTATACCTAATCTTCTTAATAACAAAAATCAGTAATAAAGATTTTAAATTATAGTTTGTATTATTACAAATACAGTACTGGATTATCCTTATTAAATCATGTTGACCATGGATCATTAAGATGTCATGTTGATATGTAATACAAGTCATATTTCTTTTGAACTGCTAATCCATGCTAATCATTCATTAAATTGTGCATTATGTCTCAATTTTTCACTTCATTGGATATACTGTACAGTACAAAAAGATAGGATAAAAATAAACCAGTAATATTTCTTTCATTATATTTTTCATTTAAATAACTGCATCAACATTTTTACAGCTGACAGGATTTGTTTTCCCATACAGGTGCATTATTTGTTAACAAAAATTTGGTTTATTGTTACACACAATGGTGCTACATAGCCTTCCCAGCTTGGTGCCTTCTTTTAATACTTACTGATTAAAAAATAAATAATAAATACATTTTATTCAGGAAAAGTACATACAGTTGATTTACAAACATAATGTTGGATTTTGCATCTTTTCCAGTTTCTTTCAGTGCTTCTTTAGATTTGGGCACCATACACCTGCTGCATATTCCAATTTTGGTCTCACAAAAGTCATGAACAGTTTCTTTAGTATCTTGCCATCCATATAATTAAAAGCAAATCTGAAATTGGAAAGCAACAAGTATGCTCCTCTCACAGTGTTCTTTGTGTTCTTCTGGCAACAGCTTATTATCCAAAGAGAGAGTGTGTGTGTGTGTATGTCATTACCTAAGTGTAGTTACAAGATGAGAGCTATGCTCGTGGTGTCCTGTCTTCCCAACACTCTTTGTCATATAACGCTTTGAAATTACTGATGGTTTTGGCCTCCACCACTTTCTCACCTAACTTGTTCCAACTGTGTACCAGTCTGTTTGCGAAAGTGAATTTTGTTTTATTTCTTCGGCATCTTTCTTTAATAGTTTAAATCTATGACCTCTTGTTCTTGAAGTTCCAGGTCTCAGGAATTCTTCCCTATCAGTTTTATAATTCCTGTTACTATTTTATATGTAGTGATCATATTGCATCTTTTTCTTCTATCTTGTAGTTTTTGCATATTTAAATCTTGTGTGGTACTCCAACACATCAATAGCTGTGGTGCGCAATTTCAGGACAGTTACTCAGCACAGCTATTGATGTGTTGCACAGTTTAAAGGTTCGTCTAACCTCTCCTCATAACTCTTGTCCTTCAGTTCTGGGAGCCACTTAGTGGCATGTTTTTGCACCTTTTCCAGTTGATGTGCTTCTTCAGATATGGGCACCATACAACTGCTGCATATTCCAGCTTTGGTCTAACAAAAGTTGTGAACAATTTCTTTAATATTTCACCATCCATGTATTTAAAAGCAAGTTAGAAAGTGTAGCATAGGCCCCATGCACAATGTTCTTTATGTGATCCTCAGGTGATAGTTTTCTATCTAGAACCACCCCTAGATCTCTTTATCAAAATTCTTTAAAGATTGCTCACATAATTTATAGGTTGTGTGGGGTCTATGTTCTCCTATTCCACATTCCATAACATGGCATTTATTTACATTGAATTCCATTTGCCAAGTGGTGCTCCATATATTTATTTTGTCCAGGTCTTCTTGAGGAGCATGGCAATCATCTAAGTTACTGATCTTCCCTATTATCTTAGCATCATCAGCAATGATGCTATATATATATATATATATATATATATATATATATATATATATATATATATATATATATATATATATATATATATATATATATATATATATATATATATATATATATATATATATATATATATATATATATATATATATATATATATATATATATATATATATATATATATATATATATATATATATATATATATATATATATATATATATATATATATATATATATATATATATATATATATATATATATATATATATATATATATATATATATATATATATATATATATATATATATATATTATATTATATTTAGTTAGTGGGAAAAAATACACTATGTAGCAATGAACACCAATGAATGGTAGTAGTTTTTAAGAAGTGAATAATTGACAATGTAGATTTTTTCTTTATTTAATATACAGTAGCACCAGACCTATGTTAAGTCATCATAGTGCCATGTGATACTCTAGTTTACAAAATTGTGTAAATGCCTGAGCATCGCTGTCTTTGTTTCATTGTAGTGTTCCTTATCCAGATACAATTTTTACATTTTATAGTGCACTTTCCACCCCACAAAAACAACAACAACAAAAAAAGGGAAGTTGAGATGGTTGTAATGATGATTGTTAAAATTTGTTAGTTTTCAATCCTTTAAATTATCATTAGAAAATGGCTCAAAAATACACGATGTTCAAAGTTCATTTGTTTATTTCATTAAATATAGAAGCAACAAATTTGATTGCTTGACTACACTAAGGAGTTAGCTTACAGTGTACTCATGGCTGCTTGTGACTTAGGCTACTGCTGCTTCAACATTGCCAAATACTCACATTGCATGAGCAATACTCTCACAACACAGAAAATGTCAAGCTGACAATACTCAGCCTTAAAAGACAACAATTTATTTAAAGATAAGAGTGAGATCAAAGACTAGTGCTGCCCACTGCAATGCCACTACCCCCATAATACCAATCAATCCCAAAGTAATTTATGTTCTTGCAAAGTGAAGATCCTTGACAGTGAGGCTGCAGCTTGCAGCTTAGTTGACCTAAGTCAACTAAAATATACTTTTGCAGCCACTGGTAACTCAAGTGCTGGTCTGTGTACTTTTAATTTTAAACACATATTTCATCATTGAAAGTTGTTACAAAGTAAAAAAAAAAATATACAGATACTAATGCTACTAATCAAACAAAATCTAATTTAAAATACACCATTCAAATGCAATTACTGAAGTTCAACTGCAGGCTCTAAGTCAAAGTAAGAGTTACTGGTCAAGAGAGATACAGGGCCATCCTGAGTCTCAGACTAGTGTTCCCCTTGCCGAGGAGATTATCATATTTGTAAGAAAGTGTGTGGAATATGTTAGCTAAAAATATAAATAATAATAAATAAAATAAAATAATAAATATGTAAGTAAATATAATGAATAGATTTCATTGCAATGTCGTAAGAATTTTAATCAGTACTCTTAAGTTATAGTGTAACAAATCATTTTAACAACAGTAAATTTGGAGTATAACTCAAAAGACATTATCTGTATCCATCTTATGTTTTACATGATAAGATTCTTGCCGATAGAAAACAAGCCATTTATAATGAGTACCCTGTAAGCTGTCTCCGCCTGTGCCGTGCACTGGAGACACAGACCTGCACACTCACACCTTCACAACATACACCAGCTCTAGTACCGAAAACTGTACAAACAAAAGGTTCATCTGCAAAAGTGTATTTACAAAAATGTACTTTTAATAAAAGATTTTCCCATATATTATTTCTAAGAATTATTCATCCTTAATAAAGGTATAAATGGTACACTGTCATATGGCAGCACAGGACAATAACGAGACTTGTGCCTCTGCAATACAAATCATCTGTATAAATCTTAACATTTAAAAGTGATGTGTTTTACAAGATATAGAATACCTCTTTGCACTTTTAGAGATCAGTGCAATGAAAACTGTTAGTAGGATCTTTCTAGGAACTTTTCCTTGTAAACTGCTGGTAATACTAAAGAGTGGATTCGTTCATACAATACTGTTCATGTAGCGAACAAGTTTGATAGCCCATCCTTGCAGGTACCAATGTAAGTACTCCCTCACACAGCGTAGAACACAGTCAAGTGACCCTACTAAAGGGAGCTGAGGATCACACTCCCAACCAACAACTTAACTGCACCAACTTACTGCTTTCCAATAGCTCACTGAGGCTATCATGGAAAACTGCCATAATTGTCTTGTGCTTGGTCGTACTCTTGAGAACACCATAAAACTAGAATTCTTCTTTTAAGTAGACTCAACGTTCTGCGACTAGTAGGAAGTTTTTTAGATGGTCATGAAAAATGTCAGTGGAAGGGAAGTTGTACATCTAGTAATTGCACAACTTGTCAGTCACACAGCCGTTAAGTATTTCTGTTGTTTAGGGGCATTAGAATTTTCCTAATCCTAATACATACCCATAACATTTCTACTAAAGAAAGCCTTTGGTAAACTGTCTGAAGAAAGTTTTTATAAAATCTTTTAAAAGAAATTATATATAAATTTCTCAAAAACTGGTACACACCCCATCACAGGTAAATTGGTTGCACAACCACTGGAAAAAACAACTGATGATTTCCTTTAGCAAAATAAATGCTCTGGTTAGATTGTCACTTCATAAACATCATGCTGCTTGCAGACATTGGTAACGTTCATGGACTGGTCACTAGTTGTGTCAGTCATGATGTGAGTGGCTGCTAGGCATGATGATGAAAGTGGCTGCAGCTTCCCCATTGCTGCTGGTCACAGCAGAGACATAGGACCATAGGACGGCACATGGTTCACTCCAAGACGCCTTGCAGCTGACTTGTTCTAAGAACCAACCATCTGTTTATTGCTATCTATTGATGGTGGAGTTCAACAGGAAGGGAACATACAGCATTTTTGTTTCTAATAGTTTAGCAGCAGCTGCTTGAATCTGAAAAGAATAATTATCATTTATGAAAAACATTTACAGATATGTTTGATGATGGTAGCAACCTAGATGGACAAAGTACTGAATTTAGAGGAAGCAAACAGTAAGAATGTATGGCAATAATGTGAATTCTTTAATGTAAAAATATGAATAGCATAGTATTTATTTTTTCTTATGAGAACTAGTTCAAAAAACAAGTAAAATCAAAATAGCCTTATTTAATAGAATGTATATTACAGTGTATCAGAGTTGGTGCTACAGCAGTTAGTTTTAGATATCTTACATCTGGGAGTCTGACTAGTAGGTCTTGGAATCTGGTGGGTTGAGAGGGATAGTGGGTTTCACAGAAGGTTCGAAGACAGCTCATATAACGATCCTGGATCAATTCCAGTTCTTTATGGGCTATCCGAGCTGTGGAAAGAAGTAAAAATTACCAATTAAAATTAATTCTTGTTAAAATTTTCTTGAAAAGTGAAAAAAAAGACAATCAGACCTTAAGAATACTCAAAAGAACCTTTGAATTCAAGGAAAAGAAAGTGGTTATCAAACTGTACAAGCCTCTAGTGTACCCAAATCTGGAGTACTGTATCCAAGCATGGAGACCCAACCAAAAGGACATCTGCTTTGGTGAAAGTACAATACAAAGGAAAAAAATTCATACAAAAACTAAGTCAACTATCATAGGAGGAGCAGTTGAGGGCCAAAAGACTTGCAACACTACAAACCAGACATAACAGGACTGATATCAATACCTTTAAAATTCTGGACAAATTGGGAGATATTAATCAGACTATTTATTTATAAGGCCAAATGTAATGTATACAAGGGGTAACAGCTTCATGCTGAACAAGCCACAACAAAGGACAGAAAACATGAGATGCTTTTTCACCATAGGGTAAATAAATCTATAGAATTGCCTACTTGTCAAAGTTGAAAATGCCTAGACATTACTGTACTTCAATTTAAATTGGCCTGGGAAAAAATCCTCAGGAACAATGAGGAGCCTGTTACTAGCACTACATCAAATAAAATTTACTGTTGGAACCAAAACTCTGATTCCCTGCTTCAGAGGTGAAGTAAAATGTGACCTATAATCTCGCAGAATTCACTTTGGGTTCTAGGCCATTTTTCAAGGCTCTTTATGCTTGTTGATAACCCCCGTGAGCAGTTGGCTGTCTTTGCTATGACCCAGTGTATATCAAAATGTAAGTATAGCCTAAATATATAAGTATACCCAAAATATACACTGGGCCCTAATTTTTTAGTGATAAACATATACCAGGTATATTCCTTTTCACTATTACTTTATATATATTTTGTATAGAATTTGGATATAAATAATTCCTAAGGATGGTTATTTTTGTTGGTGTGATAAACTACCAAACTGCTTTGTTAATGAAAGCTGTGTGTAGGGAGCCAGCAAATGTAAGCGTGTGATGTGTGTGTGTGTGTGTGTGTGAGCCATGTCATGACTTCCAACTCTTTGTCTGAGTAATCATGCTTTAATAACTGCTAAAAGGTGTTATCATTATGTTACTATAAAAGAACATCCTTTTATGTCCCTGTATATTTATTTCTGTATGATTTTATTACACACAGAAATCACAATAGCGTGATACATCAAATGAACAAATCCATAAGGGCCGTGATGAGAGTTCTAACCTACGTCTGAGCGGTTCCCAGACAGACGCTGCCGTAATCGACTAAGCCACGACATGGTAAAAGAATTGCAACCAGGAGTTCTGTAGGATCTGTGTGAGTCCAGTGGAACTCCCGGTTGCAATTCTTTTATCACGTCGTGGCCCAGTCGATTAAGGTTGCATATGGGATCCTCTCAGACGTAGGTTCAAACCCTCATCACAGCCCTTGTGGATTTGTTCATTGTATGATTTTATGTTTATAATTAAGAGTAATTCGAGAAGGGATAAATTACTGATTTATGTTAAGGTTGGCACATCTTGGGATCAAAGAGCAGAAGCTCAACCCACGCAGACACAACTAGGTGAGTCATAAGTGTTGACCTCTTGTCTCTGCTCATCTATGCAGTCATTGGGCCGAGGATGGCCGTCTGAGGCAATTGTGGGCTCTGAATAGCTGGGCTGGGCTATTGAGTTATATCCTTTATATGTACTAGATAAGTGTGTCAATAAGGTAAGAACTGATCACCATTTGGAGTATCAGTGTAACATATTGTGTTAATTCCATAATGACATGTTTTGTTTTGATAATCCCAGTGAATTGAAGTCTGCCAAGTCCTAGTGTCTTTAAAAGTTTTTGGTCAACTCTATAGTGATTTCAAGTTTATGACGATAATGACTTAGAAGAATTTCTAGAAACCTTAGAGTTTGTACTAGTCTTACTTGTATTTAACTGGTCTAGTGCACCAAGGTTCTACTTAACCTATGTACCTTGTATATACTGTAAAGAGTGCCTATATTACTGTACTGTACTTGTAAATGCACTTTATTAATTTGCCCGGTAAACTGTAGTCTGTTCTAGTTTCATGTACCCTAGATATACAGTAGTTACTTACAGCCGTGTGTTTTTAATATCGAGAGGGGATTCTAGCACTGTGAGCATTATTTGAGATATAACAGTCCTGCCTTGGAATTACTACACACGAAGGTGGCCCAAGCAAAGTAATTCTGGACATCCCTCTTGGAAGAACTTGATGTTGAGTTAGCATTGCAGTATAAGGTTTTGTAAATGTAGGGTACAGGAGAATATATATAAGATATGTATGCTTAATATGTTAGAGAGATTTGTGTAATAGTATTATATGTAGGTCCTGATGGCTGACTTTGCTAGGCTTGAGGTAATCAGTGACTGTTGAATCCAAAGTAGAGATCCAATATGCGGGCTATAGATGCATGTTATATAATGTACAGAGTGTAGAATAAGGGACAATACAAAAAATTTTTAACAGAAGGCTTTTCTTTGTTTATAGTCATTTATATGTGACAACGTTTTCAGAATCTGTTTACTAATATTCATTAGGGTATTTTGTTTAGTATTATAGAAGACATAGGTAACATCATCAAAAAATATAATAGGCTGAAGGGGTTTAGAGGCATTTGAAGTCATTATTGTACAAGTTATTTGGAATTTGAGAAGTCCAAGTATACTGCCCTGAGAGACATTTGCTATATTCATACATATCACAATACAGTATTGTATTCTGTATGCAGTACATTATATATATGGTTATGCAGATTTACTGTATTATATCAGCCATGATGCAAGCCAAAATTGTTCTGTAAACTTACACTGGTTTAACATGGCAATAACTTTCAGACAGACATATTCCTCAATTTGTATCTTTGTTTTGCGAAGGGCTAGTGTGACGTGGGTAATCTTTTCCACCATCACACCAACTTCCTGTCGCAATTGGTCCATGGTGATAGGTCTCCCCATCATAGAATTTAGGCAGGTTTGCAATGTGCAGAGGTTGTTGGACACCTGTTGAAAGAACAATTATTTATTTTTATTTATTTATTTATGCATATACAAGAATGTACATAAGGAATGTGAGGATACAATTATGGTAATTACAGTCTTGTAAAGCCACTAGCACGCGCAGCGTTTCGGGCAGGTCCTTAATCTAAGAAAATTTTAAGGAGGTAAATACTTGCAAAATTTATAGACAAAAAAATGATAACAGATTACATGGAATGAAAAAAAAAAAAAAAAAGATGAGAGAAAATTATAGGTACAGTATATTAAAGCACATAGGTAGCTATGATTGATTGCAATGACAGCTTAAAATGGTAGTTGACAACAAATTGGTAGGCACAATACAGCAGAAACAATATAAGATTGATTGCAATGACAGCTTGAATGGTAGTTGACAAAAATTGGTAGTCACAATACAGCATATGGCTAGCACATAAAAGAAGACAGCAATGAACACAATGATAAGGTTGTTTGATATTACAAAAAAATTAGGAGATTGGGTACCACTAGGTACAGAGCAAATTAAAGCTCAGTGTAGGAAACTAAATAGATGAAGTTAGGTACTTTTTGGTTTTGCTTTTAAATAAGGCAAAAGTTTTACAGTTTTTCAATTCACTAGGGAGTGAGTTCCATAGACTAGGTCCCTTAATTTGCATAGAGTGTTTACACAGATTAAGTTTGACCCTGGGGATATCAAAGAGATATTTATTTCTGGTGTGGTGATAATGGGTCCTATTACATCTGTCCAGGGAGAGTTTCAGAGCATGGTTTGCATTTAAGAACAGGGTTTTGTAAATGTAGTTGACACAAGAGAATGTGTGGAGGGAGTTAATATTTAGCAAGTTTAGAGATTTAAACAAGGGAGCTGAGTGTTGTCTGAAAGCAGAGTTAGTTATTATTCTGATAGCAGATTTTTGCTGTGTGATGATGGGCTTAAGGTGGTTTGCAGTGGTAGACCCCCATGCACAGATACCATAATTAAGATAGGGGTAGATTAGTGCATAATATAGTGAGAGGAGAGCAGAGTTAGGAACATAATATCTGATTTTGGAGAGTATACCAACTGTCTTAGAGACTTTCTTAGTTATGTGTTGAATGTGGGTGCTGAAGTTGAGTCTCTTGTCTAGGAATAGGCCAAGAAACTTGCCATCATTTTTATTACTGATGTTAATGTTGTCTATCTGTAGCTGAATTGCATTTGATGATTTGTTTCCAAATAAGATGTAGTAAGTCTTTTCGATGTTTAATGTTAGTTTGTTCGTTGACATCCATAAGTGGACTTTTTTTAATTCATTATTCACAACATTATTTAGTGTATGTGGGTTGAGGTTTGAGTAGATAAGGGTAGTATCGTCAGCAAACAATATAGGTTTGAGAATATTAGAGACATTAGGCAGATCGTTTATATATATAAGAAATAGAAGAGGTCCTAAGATGCTGCCCTGTGGCACTCCAACGGTAATTGGTAGAGTGGAAGAAGTTGTATCATTGATGGTTACATATTGGTGTCTGTCACTAAGATAGGATCGGATGTAGTCAAGGGCAAGGCCTCGGATTCCATAATGCTGGAGTTTAAATAAGAGGTAGTTGTGATTAACAGTATCAAAGGCTTTTCTTAGGTCAATGAAGAGTCCAATCGGAAACTCATTTTTGTCAAGGGCTGAGTAGATAATGTCAAGGAGACTAATGATTGCATCATTGGTACTCTTTTGGGACCGGAAGCCAAACTGGCAGGGGCTGAGTATGTCGAATTTTACGAGGTAGGAATAGAGCTGTTTGTAAATAATTTTTTCAAATATTTTTGATAGAATGGGTAGATTTGATATTGGTCTATAATTGTTTATGTCCGCCGGATTGCCTCCTTTATGGACTGGCGTTACTCTTGCTTTTTTGAGGATATCAGGGAAGGTGTGACACTCTATAGATTTGTTGAACAGTAGTGCTATGGGTGGGGCAAGGGCATGGGAGGCTCTCTTGTACACAATGGACGGAATTTCACTGGTGTTCCCTGCCTTGGTTTTTAGAGAGTGTATGATGGACACAACATCTGCCGGGCTGATTGGTGAAAGGAGAAGAGAGTTTGGATAGCTGCCTGAGAGATATGTGTTAATATGTGTCTGAGTCTGTGGGATTTTACTGGCAAGATTAGCACCAACCGATGAAAAGAAACTATTAAATTCATTTGCCATTTCTAAATCAGTTGACGGTATATCCCCATCCTTGTAGAGTTTTATTTGGTTATGTGAGTGTTGTTTAGTTCCTAGGATACTAGAGATAGTTTTCCAAGTGTTTTTCATGTTACCTTTTGCTTCATTGAATCTATTCACATAATATGCAAGTTTTGCCTTTCTTATGATACTGGTAAGCATTGATGAGTACCTTTTAGCTACTTCCCTTGAAACTAGGCCAATCCTAACTTTCTTTTCATATTCATGTTTCTTGTTGATTGAGTTGAGAATGCCATTTGTGAGCCATGGATTGTTTAATCTTTTGTCAGTTACTTGCTTTGTAAGAAGGGGACAATGAAGGTTGTAGAGGCTTAGAGTTTTGGAGAGGAAGAGGTTAGCTAATGAATTTATATCATGGGTATTAATGAATTCAGAATCCCAGTTAATATTGTGAAGTGCCTCTGTAAGATTGTCTAAAGCTGATTCACTGTGTAGCCTAAATGAAAATTTCTTGCTTTTTGGTGGTGTTATGTCCATGTTCGCTATGAGAAAGGTAGGATAGTGGTCAGTTGTTCTGTCGTAGATTATACCAGATACAAGGGGAGCTGTTATGTTTGTCCATATGTGGTCCAAGGTAGTGGCTGATGTTTGAGTGACTCGGGTAGGTTTGGTAATTGTGGGGATTAGCATACAGGAGTTCATGCTGTTAAGGAAATAGTCAACTTGAGAGCAGTTTTGTTGACCCAGGTCAATATTAAAGTCTCCTCCCAGAATGATGTGGTTTTTGTTGAGATTGTTGTTTATAATAAGATTCCTACCTAACAATGATAATAAAATAGTAAAATATTAAGAAATATAGTACAGTACTAATGTACAGGTGTACTAAAAAAAATCATACTGTGCAGAACAGTACAGTATTGTGCTGTATTATGAAGTCCATATTATATGCAGTGTTTCAGGCAATTATAAAACTAATACAGTATGATATTAGATACTGTATAGTGTATTGTATTATGTATGATATTAAATTATTTTTATATCTTTCTATTTCCCATTTTCATGGGAGAAGAGGGTGGCATTATCCTGGAGGAATCTGAGATCAATAAAGAAAAAGGACAAAGATATTCAACAACTTGTTTATACGTCTTCCCTATTAACATTGCCTGTGATTACATTTTATTGACTTCATCCAACATGTGTCTAAATACAGTTAAACAAAAAATGATTACATGTCTAGTAAGAAAACACACTCTTTCCAGTCGAGCCATTAAAAAATGGTAAAAATAATTAAAATCTTAAATATTATTTTTGTTTTGGAGTCTATTTTCTAATAAAAATGACTGAAGTAATCTATAATTAAGGAATGTGTCGTCTATACTAGTTTATTTTGATTTTGATTTTAAAATTCTAATACTGTAAAAACAAGATAGAACATTTAGATGGGGAAAAATATTAAAATGTCAATACTGTAGTTTTGAATCATTACATATAAAAAATTGCTTGAGTAACTTCAACAGTGTTGAATATCATCATAAATACAAGTACTGTACTGTACAACAAAAGTATACCAACTAATTTTATATATGCACAATGTTTTTAAAAAGTTAATTGACTTTTACAATGATGTTTGATTTTTCATTAAGCAGTGTTTTATTGATTTTTCACAGCTCAGAGTAGGAAAAAGACAAGAAAACCTCTTTCCAACTTTGTAAACCAACTTCAATATGCTTAAATGTATATAGTACAGTATTGTGCATGTTACAACATGAAATTGCATAATATACCCTAATTATGTAAACAAATATTTTTGAAATGTGAATGAGGGTTTGAAAGAAGTTTAACTGCAGATTTTTTGGCACTACATGGAGGAAGGGGGAAGATTAGACTGTTCATTCTGCTCCTAACAGCTGGCATATAAATACAACTGCTAGCAATATTTACCAGGATCAGGGGCCTGATCACTTTGAAGGTCAAAGATCAAACATTACATGACTTAGGAAAAGTTTTTATCAGGCACATAGACTGAGGTTACTTATCACATTATCCCTCACACACTCGGGAAAACATCAACAGCTGTGCCCTTCCACTTCATATCGACAATGTGTGGCAAGCTGCCTATGATTTGCCTTCTCAAAGGTAAGTTAAAACATTCTCGTCCTCATAGCCTTATTCATTTAACTCTTATTCTCTCCTCCAAATCTTACAAGCTTCTCACATTCGATCCATGTTTTCCCACTCACATTTCCTTCACCACCCAGTCATGTTCTAAATCTTTAATTTTGCCAAACCCTCACAATACGAACTCAATCTTGTGAATTATAAAATTTTGCACTCCACATTTTTCATTATATTTTTGTTCCCTGTTCCATACTCATAGCATCATAAATACATTTCATATTTTTATTTTATTTCTACTACTCTGGAATTTCATTTTTCACACTCGTACAACACCAGCATCCATACGTAAGAGCAGGCACCATCACAATTCATGTAGTCTTTTAATTAACTTGAAAGATCCCAGTAGTACAGTCGGGTTCGTTCTCAATGCACAATCGAGAATTCTGGGTTTGGATCCTTGGCGAGACAGAAATTGTTTGGCACATTTTCTTTCACCTAATGCCTCTGTTCACCTAGCAGCAATTAGGTATTCAGGAGTTAGTCAGCTTGTTGTGGGGTTGCATCCTGGGCATGGTCAGTAATTTGACTTGGGGAAGGGGGGGAGGGAGACCTCCATAAAAAACCTAACATGTATGAATACACTCTGGCTTCCTGTCCCCTGACACAGTGAATTATTATTATCATAGCTGCATCCTTTCCTAATCAGGACTTTCACTGCAACTATTTTCTTTCCTTATACCGTGTTTGGTATATCTAACAGTAGGTGATCTTGGATCACTTTACAAATGATGTGCTACATGATTTACCTTGCAGATTTACCTTGGAGCTCATACTGTAATTAATAACCCACTGACATTTAAAATAATTGTTGTATTTACTGAACAGAATGCATGCATGCATTTAACACAGGCTAATGTAAAATGAATACTTCCTGTTAGGTGTTGTGGAATGAGTTTAAACTCGGCTGGCAATGCAAATACTGTACTGTAATGTTGTGGGAAACATCTGCCTATGTTGTTGGCTGATCAGGCTCTTATTGTTTACTGCATCAGGCATAACAAGGATAACATAACCCATGCAGTGTGGCATTCCAGTGCAGTTTTGTGTTCATGCATTATGCTTAACATTTCTTTAGCAAAATAGTAAACACCAGGACTTCTCCATTTACCCATTGCACACAGTATCCTTCATACTGTACAGTACTAGAAATAACTGTGAAGAGCACTGTAGCTCAGGCATGTATTGTAAGATACATTTCTTCAGAGTAAATGTAGGAATGTCATCTGGGACCTAGTGTTTGCCAAAAATTTGTGCAGAGAGTAGATTTCCTGGATTGAGACAAAAGTTTCAAGTAACCATGGAGGTTAGGGTATAAAATGTAAAATGAATCATTTTCAAAGATATAGCCTGGCTGGAGTAGTTTGCTAGTTTGATTGCTTGTGACAGAGATGCAAAATATATGTGTTTTAAGTGTTCTATGTCGTTACACAAATTTTGCAATATGTACAGTATGGCTGAATATTCTTCTAGTGCTCACATGCAGCGTATGTGTAATACAAAACTTCCTTCCCCCTTCCCCCCCCCCTGACAAACACACACACACACACACACACACACACACACACACACACACACACACACACACACACACACACACACACACACACACACACACACACATACATATTGAGATTTCTAAGTTAAGATGAATATGTCATATTCATCTTAATATGACAGGTTCACAGTGATGTAAAATATGAATGTATCCATACAGTGTTCCTAACACAAACAAAATATTATTCCTTAAGCCATTTCTTACCTCCTGATGAAACTCAGCTTCAGTGCCATCTGAAGATCTAGATCCCAACTTCTGTAGGCCATATATAGCTTGATAAGCAGAAGTAGTAAGTACCAGGAGCTCATGCCATTTATGCGTGAGTAATCGTGTGTGAACTTCTACAGGCAGTTCCTGGTAGAAGGGAAGGCGCTTGGTCCACTGCACCAGCTTTATAGATATAGAGTCTCCCAACTGGCATAATTTTGTTGACAAGTCACTTTTGTGGTCTAGTAAGTCATCTAGATTCTGAAAAAAAATTACTGTTATATGCAAACTATCATAGATTCGATGAGAAAAACAAGATACTTTAATATCTTTTTATCTACCACGTTTTTATGGGCATTGCTAAAAACATAAAATGGTTTAGAACAAAAAAAAAAAAAGGATAGCAACTTATAGCCTGTAATATTTTTAAAGTAACAAAACTACCTGTACTTAAGATATTTAATATTGAATTTGATAGTTTGGTGAATTTACCTTCAGTGTAGCAATGTCCTCAAAGTCATCACATTCTATTAACATACGAATCATAGCTTGGGCAACATGGTAGGGTATAACACGCTCTCTCGTTGACGTTACTGTGCTGTCTATCCTTTGCCGAAAGTGAGCGACCTGGCACAAGGAAAAAAAAAAGATTTGTAATGCAAAACTTAGGCATAATTTATCTGAATGTCCCTCAATTTAAATTTTATTTACAGTATATGATACACACAGAAATCACAATAACATGATATATCAAATGAACAAATCCACAAGGGCTGTGATGAAGATTTCCTTGTTCCTTGTGGATGTTTATATATATATATATATATATATATATATATATATATATATATATATATATATATATATATATATATATATATATATATATATATATATATATATATATATATATATATATATATATATATATATATATATATATATATATATATATATATATATATATATATATATATATATATATATATATATACAACTCATTAGTATATACAGTACAGTATATTAAAAAAGAAAATATAGTACTGTACATACCTCGGAGGGATTTGTGAGTGCAGCTTTTAGAATGTGGCCAGTGTTGAGACCACTGGAGATGGGAGATGTGATGGAGGGAGATGTGAGGGGGCTGGAGATAGGCATGGGTAAAGATGTGCTTGTTAGGGAAGTAGTTCCGGCCATCATAAGTGGATCCAGAATCATTTTCTTCTCAGGAGAATTACCTCCTTGTTTTATTTGACCATTTTTTTTATTCTTCTTTTTGTACTTTACCTATGGGGGAAAAGATGGTTAAACTACATATTTAAGAACATCACATATGCAATAATTTGTTCTATGTTTAAATGCCAATAATTAAGATGGGCAAATTGTGAGAAATTATTTTGAAGTAAAATAATGCAGCCTATGAGAAATATTACCCTGCTGCTACTACAAATTTAGATTTGTAAAAAAAAAAAGTGCTTTCATATAATCTATATAATTTAATCTGAATTCTTTCATACAAAGCATGGTTTATAAATGTATAGTGCTCCATGCAGTGCTGTACTTGAAACTCTTTAGGCTTTGCAGTTTTAATGAGAAGCCGTCACCTGAGTACTATTTGAAACTATACCATTTTTCTAGTTTGGAAAACAAAAATGCAGTTTTTTGTTTTTCATGATGAAGCTCATTTAAATTAAGTCCACACACATAGGATCTTATAATGATAATATAGTACAAATATTATTACAAATAACATACCTCCATAGAAAGACAAGCTACAGTAGAACTTGGATCATGGGGTCTTTTTTGCCATTTATTTATGATTATCCATTTTAAATTGTCAAGAGTATAAGGGCTGCCTCCCCATGTACTGACTTTAAGCGTCCCGCTGATAATCCATGGCTCAGATTATTGACTCAAATACATGATGACCAAAAGTCTATAATCCGAGAGCAGTCGGACCTGATAATGAAGCTTCAGAGTGATGCTTTGGCAATGCACAAGGCTAACCAAGATCTGTCTGCCAGAGTCGGCCACCTCGAACATGAATTAAGCTCTCTTCGGATCTCGGTTACTAACTTTAAACCAGCAGAAACCTCTAAGAAGCAAGAAGAGATGTTACAAAAGTTAGAGAACCACTTTAACTCCCTACAACAGCAACAAACTGCAACCCAAGACGAATCAGACCAACTTAAGCTCCTTGATTCTGTCATCATCTCATCACAGGATTTTCCCCATGAAACTGACAGAGAAGACTGTACTGCCATCGTGATCCAGGAATTGCGTACTAAGTTGAATTATTCAATCGAAGCAAGAGACATTAAGTCAGCTTATAGAGTGGGTACCAAATCATCTGGTGCAAACAACAGAAGGATACGCGTGAAGTTGGATAGCTGCTCCCGCAAGTCAGACCTTATCACTGCTGCAGTCGCTAGGAAATCCAAGGTTTATGTGAACGAATGTCTTACCAGATTCAGACAAAATCTCTTATTTAAACTACGTGGAATTCGCAATAGATCCACTGCTATTAAACATTGTTTTGTGCGCGATGGTAAAATAATAGCTAGGAAGACTGACTCTGGAAAAACTTATGTCATAACCACTGAGGCACACCTCACTTCTTTCCTGGATGACTGTGGGATATCAGCTGAATAACCAGAACATAATTTGTAGTCTCACATACAACCAAAGTGTACTTAAGCTCTGCCTTTCCTTTCCAAAGGTGTTTATTTTTATTTTTATATTAATTTTTACTTTATTTTTTGTTTGTCATCTTTGCCTGTTTTATACTCTTAATTATTTGTTCTTAGTTAATCCCCTTGTCACTAAACCTAGGGCTTTTTATTACCCTGTTAATTAACCATTACTAAGCTAATTATCTTCAAGATCATTTTTTTATGATTATTATTATTTTTCTTATTATTTTTTATTTTACATTTATATTGTCAGTCTCTACTGATTTTTTGTGTTTTATTTTATGTAACTTCTGTGTCCTCCCTGGCTATCTATTGGATCTTTATTTTACTTCTAAATTGTTACTATTTTATTGTATCTGCTTTTATTCTTGTGTTTTGCTTTATCGTGTATCTTGTATCGTGATCCCTCTGCATCTCTATGCACACTGATATTGATCCTGATCAAAATCTTCTGTCTCATATCTATACCAACCAGCACATTGATCATCATTATTGTAAGTATTTCACAGCACACCAGGCTAAAAACAAACTCCAAAATAGCACCTGTCTATCAGTTTATAACCAAAATGTTAGATCACTTGGTAAACATTTTGACGATTTAAATGCACTACTCACAGCACTAGGTACTAACCTATCGTTCATTATTTTAACAGAAACTTGGCTAAATAAAGACTATACCCAACTCTACAACTTAGCTGGTTATAAAGCCATTCATAACTGTAGGCCTAATAAAAAAGGTGGTGGCACAGCTATATATTACCGAGATACATTTATCTGCAACAGTGTTATTAGTGACAGAGATGACTACTGTGAATATACTTTTGCTCAGTTTACAATTAAATCCCTTAAATCCTCTTTGACTATTGGAGCCATCTATAGATTTCCTAATACTAACATAGCTTCTTTCTCAGACAACCTAAGGAATCTTATTATAAACAACAATCTCAACAAAAACCACATCATTCTGGGAGGAGACTTTAATATTGACCTGGGTCAACAAAACTGCTCTCAAGTTGACTATTTCCTTAACAGCATGAACTCCTGTATGCTAATCCCCACTATCACCAAACCTACCCGAGTCACTCAAACATCAGCCACTACCTTGGACCACATATGGACAAACATAACAGCTCCCCTTGTATCTGGTATAATCTACGACAGAACAACTGACCACTATCCTACCTTTCTCATAGTGAACATGGACATAACACCACCAAAAAGCAAGAAATTTTCATTTAGGCTACACAGTGAATCAGCTTTAGACAATCTTACAGAGGCACTTCACAATATTAACTGGGATTCTGAATTCATTAATACCCATGATATAAATTCATTAGCTAACCTCTTCCTCTCCAAAACTCTAAGCCTCTACAACCTTCATTGTCCCCTTCTTACAAAGCAAGTAACTGACAAAAGATTAAACAATCCATGGCTCACAAATGGCATTCTCAACTCAATCAACAAGAAACATGAATATGAAAAGAAAGTTAGGATTGGCCTAGTTTCAAGGGAAGTAGCTAAAAGGTACTCATCAATGCTTACCAGTATCATAAGAAAGGCAAAACTTGCATATTACGTGAATAGATTCAATGAAGCAAAAGGTAACATGAAAAACACTTGGAAAACTATCTCTAGTATCCTAGGAACTAAACAACACTCACATAACCAAATAAAACTCTACAAGGATGGGGATATACCGTCAACTGATTTAGAAATGGCAAATGAATTTAATAGTTTCTTTTCATCGGTTGGTGCTAATCTTGCCAGTAAAATCCCACAGACTCAGACACATATTAACACATATCTCTCAGGCAGCTATCCAAACTCTCTTCTCCTTTCACCAATCAGCCCGGCAGATGTTGTGTCCATCATACACTCTCTAAAAACCAAGGCAGGGAACACCAGTGAAATTCCGTCCATTGTGTACAAGAGAGCCTCCCATGCCCTTGCCCCACCCATAGCACTACTGTTCAACAAATCTATAGAGTGTCACACCTTCCCTGATATCCTCAAAAAAGCAAGAGTAACGCCAGTCCATAAAGGAGGCAATCCGGCGGACATAAACAATTATAGACCAATATCAAATCTACCCATTCTATCAAAAATATTTGAAAAAATTATTTACAAACAGCTCTATTCCTACCTCGTAAAATTCGACATACTCAGCCCTTGCCAGTTTGGCTTCCGGTCCCAAAAGAGTACCAATGATGCAATCATTAGTCTCCTTGACATTATCTACTCAGCCCTTGACAAAAATGAGTTTCCGATTGGACTCTTCATTGACCTAAGAAAAGCCTTTGATACTGTTAATCACAACTACCTCTTATTTAAACTCCAGCATTATGGAATCCGAGGCCTTGCCCTTGACTACATCCGATCCTATCTTAGTGACAGACACCAATATGTAACCATCAATGATACAACTTCTTCCACTCTACCAATTACCGTTGGAGTGCCACAGGGCAGCATCTTAGGACCTCTTCTATTTCTTATATATATAAACGATCTGCCTAATGTCTCTAATATTCTCAAACCTATATTGTTTGCTGACGATACTACCCTTATCTACTCAAACCTCAACCCACATACACTAAATAATGTTGTGAATAATGAATTAAAAAAAGTCCACTTATGGATGTCAACGAACAAACTAACATTAAACATCGAAAAGACTTACTACATCTTATTTGGAAACAAATCATCAAATGCAATTCAGCTACAGATAGACAACATTAACATCAGTAATAAAAATGATGGCAAGTTTCTTGGCCTATTCCTAGACAAGAGACTCAACTTCAGCACCCACATTCAACACATAACTAAGAAAGTCTCTAAGACAGTTGGTATACTCTCCAAAATCAGATATTATGTTCCTAACTCTGCTCTCCTCTCACTATATTATGCACTAATCTACCCCTATCTTAATTATGGTATCTGTGCATGGGGGTCTACCACTGCAAACCACCTTAAGCCCATCATCACACAGCAAAAATCTGCTATCAGAATAATAACTAACTCTGCTTTCAGACAACACTCAGCTCCCTTGTTTAAATCTCTAAACTTGCTAAATATTAACTCCCTCCACACATTCTCTTGTGTCAACTACATTTACAAAACCCTGTTCTTAAATGCAAACCATGCTCTGAAACTCTCCCTGGACAGATGTAATAGGACCCATTATCACCACACCAGAAATAAATATCTCTTTGATATCCCCAGGGTCAAACTTAATCTGTGTAAACACTCTATGCAAATTAAGGGACCTAGTCTATGGAACTCACTCCCTAGTGAATTGAAAAACTGTAAAACTTTTGCCTTATTTAAAAGCAAAACCAAAAAGTACCTAACTTCATCTATTTAGTTTCCTACACTGAGCTTTAATTTGCTCTGTACCTAGTGGTACCCAATCTCCTAATTTTTATGTAATATCAAACAACCTTATCATTGTGTTCATTGCTGTCTTCTTTTATGTGCTAGCCATATGCTGTATTGTGACTACCAATTTTTGTCAACTACCATTCAAGCTGTCATTGCAATCAATCTTATATTGTTTCTGCTGTATTGTGCCTACCAATTTGTTGTCAACTACCATTTTAAGCTGTCATTGCAATCAATCATAGCTACCTATGTGCTTTAATATACTGTACCTATAATTTTCTCTCATCTTTTTTTTTTTTCATTCCATGTAATCTGTTATCATTTTTTTGTCTATAAATTTTGCAAGTATTTACCTCCTTAAAATTTTCTTAGATTAAGGACCTGCCCGAAACGCTGCGCGTGCTAGTGGCTTTACAAGACTGTAATTACCATAATTGTATCCTCACATTCCTTATGTACATTCTTGTATATGCATAAATAAATAAATAAATAAATAAGGTCTAGAAGCATAGACACTGATTTCAAATAATTTATAGATCTCCAAACAAAATTTTAAATTTTAAATTTAAAACATTTTAGGTCGAAATGAATGAATTTTGGTCTACGAGTATGGGCTTCTTACCCCTTGTATAAAGTATTATGACATGGGGGAAATGGTATGGCACTATTGAATGTACTTTGCTGTTTCCTTTTCAAGAATATTGTATCCAAGTTTTACTGCAACAGGCACACATACACAAAAGACATTGGCACCTCTATAGCTAGCAAGGTGACATTACTACTGTATTTAGTGAAAATATATTATTCATAGGATATCTGAAAGCCTGTGGAATATTATCTTGAACGGAACTAAGTGCTTCCATGCAGAGATTATTAGTGCTCTCTCTGGTGTGATTCCAACAGATTATTTGTTTTCATTACATGGTCAGGATGACACTCTGGCTGTTCTCAAGGTAAAGTGATTCTAATGACTGGCCACCTGGTTAAACACCTAGATATTAAGTCTGCTTAACTCGTTTTCTTTTAAAGTCTGAAGAATTTTGTTTTCTGCTAATAAAATTTTAGGGGATACTCAAATAATTTTCCAATTTCACATTTCACGTATTTGAAAATAATACACCATAGTAACGTAGCCAAACTTAACAAAACATAACCTAATCATGGATAAGGAGTAGATAATAGCACTAATTATGTAGTGATAATGAGCATATAAAAGTGATTACCTCTAGGGTACCTCCTCCATGAGGACAGGTTGACACTACAAATAAGGATAAGGGCCAATGGAGAAATTATTTTCTGCCTATAAATTAGTTATATACAGTACTATAATATACCCCCCCCCATGCAACCATGTACCGAATTTTGTTTATATTTTGGGAGTTCTCCAGAAATGAGTCTAGCATTGATAGGGGGATGGGAATAGCCTAAGCTACTCTATCTTTTGAGATGTATTTTCTTGTCTCAATAAACATACTTGAAATTGCATTGATAAATTTTTGTTTCATCTACAAATATTATCAGATTTAATATAATTTTATTTTGTTTGCATATGAGTTCATACACGGAAAGTGCCAGTATAAACGAATGTTTATATGAGAATGTTGTCTATTGGATGACGATTCAATTTATTTAATTCAAATAAAAATTAGTTTAGGGATGGTTTAAACAGTGAATTAGCAACTTGGAGGCCATGGCTGTTCTACCAAAAAACCGGGGGAACTTGTCCTCATAAAGTGTGGCTACGTGTCCACATATAGTGTGGCCACGTGTCCACATATAGTGTGGCCACGTGTCCACATATAGTGTGGCCACGTGTCCACATATAGTGTGGCCACGTGTCCACATATAGTGTGGCCACGTGTCCACATATAGTGTGGCCATGTGTCCACATATAGTGTGGCCACGTGTCCACATATAGTGTGGCCACGTGTCAACATATAGTGTGGCCACGTGTCCACATATAGTGTGGCCACGTGTCCACATATAGTGTGGCCACGTGTCCACATAGAGTGTGGCCACGTGTCCACATATAGTGTGGCCACGTGTCCACATATAGTGTAGTAACTGTCCACAAAGAGTTTGGCGACTTACAGCTGAATCTCCTGTGCAATTGTAATAACGGTTTATAAATTACCCAAATTCGAAAAGAATTTCATAAATAACGACCTAATCAAATCCACATGAACTTGAGAGAGCCCTTAATTGACCCAAGGATTGAGAACACACAATATCAACATACGGGATTATTACGTTTATTGGATATTATTGGCCCATACTAGTGACAACGGTTTCACACCTTATGTTTTAGGAAGATCAAATATTTTTATAGAATAGTTCATTTTTTTTTTTTACATTTACGCACTTCATACTACATAATTTACAAATGTTATTATATGAATAGTATGTAATTCCATCTGAATTAGGGTAGATTTTGGTAATTTGTGTTGTGTGACAGAAGTACAGAATTGAATTACAACATACCTAAATACAAAATTTAACAATATCCAAACAGCTGTCAGAAATATGTGATGATTACATGAGCACCACTGTTTATAAGTTATAAACTGCTGGTTTATTAAACATTTCTTGTATTCAATAAATAAAACTCGAACGTAACATTCCATCATCCGAAACAGTTTCTTGATTATCCAAGGTAAACAAAACTAGTTCACCACGCAGCGCGTGTTCCTAAGGTACTAAAGTGCCCTTATCTTAACCTACCAGACTACCAGAGGACCCAAGACAGAAAACGGAACAGTATGTCAATTCCACGACCCGCTACCAATTTTAGTACGGTAATTTTTGGCCTTAGGAAGAGTATACGTTAAAATGCGACATTCTGTTAGGAGGACGGGTTGTCTTACTGGGTGAGTTCGAACCCTAATAGTCCAAGTGCTTAGACATAATTCCCCGACTCCTTCTAAGTGTCATATATTGACATACAGACATACTGGCTAAACACTTTCTTTTAATAATTAACAGGCTTTTTCATACAAATCTTTCCGTTTTTCAAAAACGAGTTGGGCAACCTATGGATCATGGGCTAGGTGTTTAAACCGTCTGTATTTATTGAAAGTTAAGCATAAAAATCTTACAAAATTAAAACTTTAATGGCTTTCATTTCTAGGTTAAAATATAAAGGCAATCTTTGTCCATGAGGATCGTTGGCTCTGGCGTGACCAATAGATGTAACGTATAAATAGCATGAAGTATTTGTAAAATAAACGAAGATGAAATAAAGTAGAGCGTATACGTTTATTTAAAAAAAAAATATAAAACTCGCTAGACAACACACATTCGTTGTTGGAAGTTGACTCATTAAGCAATATTATTAGCCCTCAACTGTAACTCAGTACCGCCTGGCTCCATTACGTCACACCTTTAAAACAAGTTTATACGCCTTTAAACAGGAATGTTGTAAATACCATTCCAAAGCGAGTCTACCTATTTTTACCAAAAACCTTCTCTGTCAAAGTCAAATATCCCGCTTTTCCCGGTCTATGGAGAGAACAATAATAACTGGAAATGTATGTACTATTGCAATGTGAAATTCCTTTAAATGATGTGGGAAGTTCGTCATGCAAGCAGGACAACTGCAAACTATTATAATCACAACACATGTGAATTCTGAAGCATTGAAAGCCAAAGACGGAGAGCGTGCTAGGCTGCTGTCACCTTACCTCCTTCCGTGTAAGTGTTTAAGCTTAATTGTTACCATGGTGTAAACCCTCACCATAAGTCCGTTGTGCTTGCCTGAGCACCTCACACCTACAAGAAACCAACCACTGGCTCCATAGATTAGTTGGAATAGCTCTTGCAGCAAAGCAGACACAGCGCACAGATCACATGACCACGGATACTGTCTGTTACACTATTAATTAAAAAGTTCATATAATCACATATGAGATTGTCAGTCCAATTACTTTACCAAGTATAATAATCAAGACAAAAATGCATTATTGCCTCATCGTGAGTGTGTAAGTTAGTTTTGTTTTCCCTTTATACCACAGTTCACCGGGGCAGGTTCCCAACACAATTTGCTATATCCTTTCTCGATATATGTGGATTATCTTGTCTTTTCAGTATTCACTTTGCTATTTTAACCAATTTTGTTGTCTCCATATATAAATTTAGTAAACAAAGGTGAGATTGAATAGCTTACGATTAGTGTGTTAGTAAAACCTGGTAAAGTAATGTGATTATAAGTTAATTAAACAAATATAATTTACCTTATACAGATTATAGACTGCTCCAGAATTTCGACCACCAGGCATTCTGTCCTCTCTCACAGCTGTTGTGGTAAACAAAATATATTTACACAAAATGTAATTGGATTAATAGTTTGATATATATATATATATATATATATATATATATATATATATATATATATATATATATATATATATATATATATATATATATATATATATATATATATATATATATATCTATATGAATTTATAGTGTATATACATATACATATTTTTTCATTCAATGTAGTAGGGGAAAACATTTTGACATTTTTTACGAGGTTGAGTAAAGTACGCAGTATTTGTTACGAACATTAAAACAAGTGGAATTTATGTGGCACTTGAGTAATGAGGCACGTACCAGCAAGCACCATGCCCTGACGAAGACACTTTTGAAACCGACAATACTGGCAACGGTTCCGCTGTGCTTTGGTGATCTCACAGTCACCGTCGGCCACACACGTGTACACCCGCTTATTCTGAACTGTTCGCTTAAAAAAACCTTTGCAACTGCAAGTAGAAAAGTTTGTTTGTAATTAGTACACTTTTAAATCGTACATACTCAAACTTTTAAAGTTGATATGCACAGGTAGAATTTGTTTTATCTAGAATCTAAAACTCGACAAAGATTAACCCTTTAACGACATGGTACAGAGTTTTCTGGGTATGAAAGACTTAAATCAAAGTGCTAGTTTAGTCCAGATCATAACTGTGTTCACAAGTATATGTAGAGTAGTGCCTCTTCACAACCCTCTCCCCTGATACACTGCCAGCTGGCCTGACTCCTGCCTATACAACAGAGCCTCAGCAGAGTACAGTGACATGCCCTAGAATTACTATTATTATGATTATGTTCACGATTACATTTTCAAGACAGTTGATGGATTATTACACTAGGGAATTCTTACCCCTCACAAGTGATGATACCGTAGTGAAGTCCTGTGGCTCGATCCTCACATATCATACATATCATGGGCTGGTCCTCCTCGTCGTCTTCAACAGGCGTGGGCTGGGTAGGAGTAGTAACCACACTCTCCGCACTGTTAGTGCGAGCCCCCCACATCGCCACTGTAGACAAGTTAAGCGCTGCTGGAGAATCTGGTTGAGTGTGAGGCAACTGTGTACGATCGCCTGCCCATAACCGCTCCATGTTGAGAGGAGTGGATGGATGGCGCTGGCTGTCAACACTACTAGGGGAGTGTAAATAGGACGCACTCTGTAATAGCTGGAGATCTCCAGAACTCTGCGGTGACCCTAAACCTCGAACAACTTGGTAACTTGGGGAAGAGGGTGCTACCGTATAAGGGGAGCGAGCAATTGGAGTATGAGTAAGAGGAGATCTTGCACTTTGAGTTATTGGAGAACGGGCAGAAGGAGAGAGTGAAAGAGTACTTGAGGGAGAGAGCTGGGGAGGAGATCCTCTTCTGTCCTGACCTAATGTCAAGAGACCATCTACTGAGGCACGCACTGCGTCGCTGGTATCAGCTCCGTAAACACACGAAGTGGCAGGTTGAGTGAGGACCTCTCGTGGGGCTTGAGATACCGTTGTCTGTGTTTCAGATGGTGTTGACCAGAACATTGTTTTTACCCCACCTGCTTCTCCCATTATAACTGTTGGTGTTCGAAGACGAGGGGAATATCCAGCTCTACTGGAATCTGCTGGAACTGCTGCTGGAACACTTGTAGATTGTGTAGGCTGTACCATACCACCACTGATGAATTCCGGCCGCATGCCATTAATACGGTTGGCTCCTCCACCCCAGTATGGTTGTGCAATGCTCACAGGTGGGCCGCAGCGTAGTCCCGCGGAGATTACCATTCCAGACGAAAGGCCTGCTACCGAGACGGAAAGCGTGTGTGGTATGGGACTTAACGTTGTGTGAGGTGGTCCTAGGGACACCAAGGGTGGAGGAATTGGTGTACATGTTGACACCGGAGTAATTTCTGTATGATGTTCACTTGTGTCCGGTGGTGGCGGGGTAGTAGACATACGCTCGGGGATGTCAGTATGCTCACACTTGGGAACAAGATGCAGGTTTGAGTCTGCTGTTGCAGGTCTTGGCATGGCTGAAGAGGATACCGGTTGGCTTCCACCGCCATCAAACACTTGCGCCGCCTGAGCCTCGTCATCTTGACCGCAGTCCAGACACGGTTTAACTTCCCCGAACTCGTCGCCCGCACTGTCCGGTGATGCTCTGTAAAGAGTAGAGACAATAACACCAACACACCAACACTCTCCTAACAGTGACATTATTCACGTGTAAATTCACTTAGTTACTAACTAAATTTTAATTTTGAAGGCAGGCGATAGGCTACCTCTCATGAGTGTGTGGCCGAGGGTGGGGCGACGCCCGCGGTGATTCGGAGGGCAAGTATGTCGTTTGGGGCTGAACTGGACTGCAGGAGGAAGTTTCTCCACCTGACGACCCAGAGTCCGGGGAACAAGACGAGGTCTCAGCCAAGCTTTCCCCGTCACTGCTGCACCTATAGACAGTCCGTACTTGCTTACACAAAACACTAAACGCCCTTATACATAAAGTTACTTAACTGCCATATACCCCACCTTCAAAAAACAAAACAAAAATAATAGCCTAACAAGTACGTAAACAAAGTTGCTGCACTTTCCCTTTCAGAAAATATAATTTAAAAACAGAAATAAAATGAACTCTAATGCTTTGGAATTTACATTATGATATTATTCATGGGGGGGTCCGTGTTAACAGCAACAATGAGTAACTGAAATCTGGCTATAGAATTCCATAGACTTTCGACGAAATAATAACCCCCCCCCCACGCAGTTTTTTGTACTAAACGCGCGCGCGCGCACTGACAGTGTGCTTGTGGCGCAAGTAATTACGTGGTCGTCACTGTAAGTCAAATATCGTTGGGTCTGGCTAGTAACTCCTAGTAGTAACCTAGTTAGTAACTTGGGTTACCACACGAACAGCCTCGCTCTTGGCTAGGGGGGACTTGGATAAAGCTTACATGATTCTTCTTTTTTAGATTGGAGATTATATATATATATATATATATATATATATATATATATATATATATATATATATATATATTGCTAATGCCTTCAATTAGCAAAGGGGAAAGGTCTACACAACAGAGAGTGAGGTCTACAAAACAGGGGTTTATATTTACACAACAAGAGGTTTATATCTATATAAGAGGAGTTGATATCTACATAGCAGGTGGTGATATGTACACAACAGGGGTTGATATCTACACAACAGGCGGTGATATTTACAAAACAGGCTGTGGTATCTACACAACAGGCGGTGATAGTTACACAACAGGCTGTGATATCTATACAACAGGCTGTGATATCTATACAACAGGCTTACACAACAGGCGGTGATACCAAGACAATAGTCGGTGATATCTATACAATATGGAGTGATGTCTGCACAACAGAGGCTGATTCATCTACACAACAGAGGCTGATTCATCTACACAACAGAGGCTGAGGCATCTACACAATAGAGGCTGATACATCTACACAAGAGGCTGAGACATCTACCCAACAGAGGTTGAAGCATCTACTCAACAGAGGCTGAGATATCTACACAACAGAGTTTGAAGCATCTACTCAACAGAGGCCGATACATCTACACAACAGGTAGAGACATTTATACAACAGGTAGAGACATCTACACAACAGAGGCTGAGGCATCTACACAATAGAGGGTGAGACATCTACACAACGGAGGCTGAGGCATCTACACAACAGGTAGAGATATCTACACAACAGAGGCTGAGGCATCTACGCAACAGGTAGAGATATCTACATAACAGAGGCTGAGGCATCTACACAACAGGTAGAGCCATCTACACAACAGGCAGAGCCATCTACACAACAGGCAGAGCCATCTAAACAACAGAGGCCGAGACATCTACACAACAGGCAGAGCCATCTACAAAACAGGCAGAGCCATCTACACAACAGGCAGAGCCATCTACACAACAGGCAGAGCCATGTACACAACAGAGGCCGAGACATCTACACAACAGGTAGAGCCATCTACACAACAGGCAGAGCCATGTACACAACAGAGGCAGAGCCATCTACACAACAGGCAGAGCCATCTACACAACAGAGGCAGAGCCATCTACACAACAGGCAGAGCCATCTACACAACAGAGGCAGAGCCATCTACACAACAGGCAGAGCCATCTACACAACAGGCAGAGCCATCTACACAACAGGCAGAGCCATCTACACAACAGCCAGAGCCATCTAAAGAACAGAGGCAGAGCCATCTACACAACAGCCAGAGCCATCTAAACAACAGAGGCCGAGACATCTACACAACAGGCAGAGCCATCTACACAACAGGCAGAGCCATGTACACAACAGGCAGAGCCATCTACACAACAGGCAGAGCCATCTACACAACAGAGGCCGAGACATCTACACAACAGGCAGAGCCATCTACACAACAGAGGCAGAGCCATCTACACAACAGGCAGATCCATCTACACAACAGGCAGAGCCATCTACACAACAGGCAGAGCCATCTACACAACAGCCAGAGCCATCTAAAGAACAGAGGCAGAGCCATCTACACAACAGCCAGAGCCATCTAAACAACAGAGGCCGAGACATCTACACAACAGGCAGAGCCATCTACACAACAGGCAGAGCCATGTACACAACAGGCAGAGCCATCTACACAACAGCCAGAGCCATCTAAACAACAGAGGCCGAGACATCTACACAACAGGCAGAGCCATGTACACAACAGGCAGAGCCATCTAAACAACAGAGGCCGAGACATCTACACAACAGGCAGAGCCATCTACACAACAGGCAGAGCCATGTACACAACAGGCAGAGCCATCTACACAACAGCCAGAGCCATCTAAACAACAGAGGCCGAGACATCTACACAACAGGCAGAGCCATCTACACAACAGCCAGAGCCATCTAAACAACAGAGGCCGAGACATCTACACAACAGGCAGAGCCATCTACACAACAGGAAGCAACATAAACTTACCGGGAGTCAACCTTTCGGCGCTTAAGCTTCAGGTCCTGGAAGAGGCTCATTTTGACGCCCTCACACTGGAGCAACGTCACCGTCATAATTCCTGCAAGAGACCAGACGACGCAACGTTAATATACATGGCGCTCAAAATACGGAGGGGGGGGGGACGTTCAATGTATATAAAATATTTGTATGTAGATAGTAGAGAGGTATTAACAACATGGGGATGTATTGCATATTACTCCGGAAACATTTGGCTGTATGATCCCTGGAACACATTATAGGCCGCCTCTCTTATTATATTTCTCATCCCTCTTGTGGGGAAGATGTCTCTTGTCAGTTCTGGCAAACTTGACGAGTACGTCTCTCTCTCTCTCTCTCTCTCTCTCTCTCTCTTGAGCGCGCGCGCGCACACACACACACACACACACACACACACACACACACACACACACACACACACACACACACA